TGTGGGTCATATTTGAATGTTGTTTAAATTACTTTTGAAAGGAATAAAAAAATATATGAAATTATTTGACTGCTTTCTACCCCTTGATAGAAGGAATTTTGTCTCCACACTTAAAAGTGAAGTCATTCATTCCCTTGGTGGTTGTCTCGTGGCTTTAAAAGGATCTATACTCCAGTAGCTCTTGTGATATTGCGACTTATAATAAGGAAAATATATTAGGCCGTAGTCTCCATTTCTGTCACAGAACTCCTAAAACACTTGGAATTTTTTAAGTGATGAGAGAGATAAAGGAGTCTTTGTTGATATCTTTCTCCTTAATTTGTAAGAATTTTGTAAGTTTTGTTTTGCCATATTGGCTACAAATACTTTTCAATTCAATGGAGTGGTTTTCAGTGTGTACAGGTTCTATGTCCTTGATGGATTTTATCTTCTATTAATATCACAATAGTCCCCTCTCTTGTGTTCAATGCATTTTGCCTTAAAGTCTTTGTTTCTCTTGTATTTCTATTCTTAATTTTCTTTTGCATACATTTACCTTATACATCTTGTAATGTCTCTTTTTAAAAATAATTAGTTGTCATTTACTTTTGTTTGTTTGTTTCTTTCTTTCTTTTTAAATCCTCATCCAAGGATATTTTTCCACTGATTTTTTTTAGATAGAGTGGGAAGGGAGTGAGTGGGGGAGAGGGAGAGAGAGAAACATTGACGTGAGAGAGTCATCGATTGATTGCATTCCACACGACCCAATCAGAGCCGGAGATCAAAACTGCAACTGAGGTACGTGTCCTAGACTGGGAATCGAACCTTCAACTCTTTGGTCCATGGGGCCGATGCTCTAATCACTGAGCTAAACTGGCTGGGGCTGTCATTTATTTTTAAGTATATCTGTTATGAATACAACATAAGTGATCTTGCTGTTTCACCCAATTGGAAAGCCTTTGCTGGTTGCCAAGTGGTCCAGGGAAGAGGATGAACTCATTCACATTTCTTCTAACCACTGATACATCACTACTGATGCAGTCTCTTTCCCACTGTCTTCCTTTGTACTTCAGTATATTATGCTTGCTCTTTGCTGTTTTCATCTTTATTATATTTGGCTCATTTTACTCTAACAAATATAACTGAACTTATATATCTCTATCAACTTCAAGAATTATTCAGAATCTGTAATTATCTTTATACAACCATCAAGATCAGGTCTTCAGCAGAATCTTAATTTCTCTCCCCAGGTTTCATTGAAGTAAACAAATTTTACTCATAGATTATTTTATTGTTATAATTCATTTCTTCTGACTATAAAAATCCTTAAAACTTGCATTAAACTTTATAGCTACCTCATAGGTTAGTTACTATAAATTGTATATTCACCATTCTATCTAGTCTGCTTCAGTTGCCCTTCCTGACTTCTTTATTCTGATTTATTTTTCGTTTGGCTGGGGTACTTCCCTGAGCAACTATTTTTATAAAAGCTATGAATGGGTAGCATAGTTCTATATTTTTTCACATCTTCATAATTGAATGCTAGCTCCGCCCTGTGTGGGATTCTGAGGCCATGCTGTTTTCTCTAAGAATCCATCATCTGTGAGCATAGTGTTTGCCTATGAAAAGTCAGATTCCTATCTATCTTTCTTGTTTTTTTCTTTTCCTGCCTAGAAGCATCAAATTGAGAATTTTCAAAGAATATGAAGTAAAAAGGTACTCAAAAAGAAAACATTAATGTCTGTCCTGAAGATTTAATGATTTCATAAAAGTGATTTAAAAATAATTTATATTCTACTGGAAGAATAATGGCTAATTTTTACCAAAGGCATAATAATTAGTTTTTAAATGAGTAGCAAAAGAGCAAATGTGATTTATCTCTGTGACTTTAAAAAAAAAAAAAAAAAAAGGTTATGCAAAATGAATTATTTTTGGAAAGATTTATAAAGTTAAGCACCACAAAATAAATTTTGCAAGAGTCCAAGAGGGTCCCTCACATTGGGAGGGGATTCCGGAATCAATCACATCATGCTCAGCAATGGAAGAAGATGTGTCAGATGCTCTACCTACACTATCCTTCAGAACTAGTTCTCAAAGAAGTTAAATACTTACGGAAGCCCCCAACACTAGTAAATAAGTGGCAGAACTAGAATTTGAACCCAGGACCCCATGCCTTCTCTAACATCCTCTTCGGAGTGCACCATGTTATCTGGAGTGCCTTTGCATTCAAGGGAATGGGCTAGGAGCTGTGAGGGATGCAAAGTGAACGCCAGGTTGTCATCTAGGTAGACCCTATTCAGTAAACCTAATTAAAAAACAAAACAAAACATTTTTCTTCTTGTTATTAAAAATTAGGTGGGGGGGTGGGGATAGGGGGAAAGTAGGGGATATCTGTAATACTGTCAACAATAAAAAATACACTTCAAAAAAAATTAAGCCATGAATCTGTGATTCAGAAGAAAAATGTCCTTATCCAGGTGCATTTTTATACATTAGCATTTAGGGCAAATTGCCCAGAACTCCAATACTAATTTACCTCCAGGATCTCAACCCATAGTTACTGTAGGAATTTTTGGCAAGTAGATTTCCCTGAGGGTACTAGTCAAGTTAAGAAGTCGTCTTAAAGAAAAGGTGTTAGTCTCAGGCAACAATTCAAAGCTTGGTGTTCAGAGGTGGGAGGTATTTGCAGCAGTGCCCTGGTGGTAAGGGGGGTGAGAGAGTGCCTGCTTCCCTGGTAAGCCCTGTAATGGCTCAGGGGTAGTGTCATGTGCAATGGTGACAATCTTTACTTTGCACTCAGAATTACAGTGGACCATATGTTAACTTCTAACTCCAAAGTTATTATAGCAAACTTGGGAAGGAAACATTTCCAGGATCGCGCTTGAACTCTCTGCAAGTATGAAAAAGCAAGGTGAGTTGGGCAGTTCAGATAGGCACTTCCCACATCTCTACCACTCTTACAGCAGAACCCAAAATGATGCGTTTGTCCCCTTAGATCAGGGGTGGGAATTTTTTTTTTTGCCAAGGGCCATTTGGATATTTATAACATCATTTGTGGGCCCTACAAAATAATCAACTTAAAAATTAGCCTGCTATATTTGGTCAAACATTTAATAAACTCACCCCTAATGGGATGGCTGTAACTGCTTCTCTGTGGGGAGGCATGTGAGATTAGCTGGTATTGATGATGTTGCTGTTCGTAACTGCTTTTCCAGGTTTGCGTTGGTCAGTCTGGAGCACAGCTGACCCTTTGTGATGGTAAGTTTCGAAAAGAACTGCTCGCAGCAATAAATTGTTCTGAACACAGATGCATATTTCAGTGCGTGTCTCCTCAAAGTGGGAAATTCATCACTGCGTACGGAACATTTACATAACTCAAGCAGTGGGAGGTGGTTGTACCCAGCTCTCAGCCCACCATCGCTGCAGCTGAATGATTTCTTGCTGCAGGTTATCAGGCGCATCAGCTGGTTCCATATTGAATGGTGTAGCAAAGATGTTCAGTTCCATTTGTTTACTTTTCAGTCCTTGACTCTTTCATTAAATGCCTCAATTAGTTTCGCACATTCGCCAACATATTCAAGTGTCCTAGAAGGCTTTTGTCCTTCCAGAGTGGGGAAATGCACCGTGTTATTCCTTTAGAGTTGCATTTTCCACAGCCTTAACTTAGCTTCAAATGATTTCACGTTTGAAAGCAGGGAGCTGAGAAGCTGTTTGGGGGCCTGCAGCTTGACATTCAGCTTTGAGAAGTACTTGGTAATGTCTACCATGAACGCTAAATCACACAGCCACTTGCTATCATTGAGTTCCCTGACAGGTTTTCCCTTCACCTCCATGAACTGCTTGACTTCATTCCGCAGTTCCTAGAACCTCATGAGCATGTTCCCGCGACTCAGCCACTGCACTTCACAGTGAGAAACAAGATCACCGTACTCAGAGTCAAGATCATTCAGTAACTCCTGAACCTGGCAGCTGTTAGATCTTCTGTTTTGAGAAAATTTATGCATGACACTACTGTTGACATCACACTGTTGAGCCTCAACGACTATGCACAGAGACTTCCTTGGTGTATGATGCAGTGGCATATAATTAAATCACTTGGATCAAGGCTGAGACAATTCAGTTCTTTCGTGACAAATGCAATGAACACTTTTTGCAAGCCAACCATGGCAGGAGCTCCATCTGTAATAAGGCCACTTAACTTTTCAACTGTTAGCTCAAGTTTTTCCATTGATAAAACAAGTCCTCACCCCTTGTAGTGCCATGCATGGCTTCCAGTGACAGCAGTTCCTCTCATGTGAAGAAGGCCAGGTGGGCAGTATTGGTTATGTCCATTGTCTCATCAGAAGCCAGAGAAAAAGTTGGAAATCTCCTGCAGAATCCTTCCGTGTTTTTTCAGTATCTTGTATCTCTGAGACAAACTAATACTCTGAAACAATTTTACTTTGTCTGGTGCTAACAACTCCTCAGCAGCCACCACACACTCTTTCACAGACTCTCCCTGTGCATGAGGCCTCGGCTTCTTTACGATTAGCTTGCTCACTACACAACTCGTCTGAAGAACGTTGTCTCTGTCACAACAAGGCCTAGTGGCTTGTTGTGATTCTAAACCCCGCTGAAGAGCATTGATTTTATCCAGATACATTTGGTCTCCCAATTCATTGAGTTTGGCATGTTTTGAGCTGTAATGACGCTCCAGATTGGCTTTTTTCATTACTGCTAATGTATTGCCACAACCTAGGCACACAGGTTTGCCTTCGACTTCAACAACAAAAATAATCATTTGTCCATTTCTCTTGGAAAGAGTGACACTCTGCATCAACTTTTCTTTTCTTTGTAGTTGACATTAGTAGGATGTCACACCACTTAAGTTTTAATAACTATCTAGTGTGTGTGTATTGCCAGCAATGTGATTATTTCACTGTTCTAATCCTGCATCTTGGATTTGGAACATACCCAACATTTGTATCATTGACTCTTGAGGTCTTTTCTGTGTACTGTAATTTCCTGAATCTTCATCGGAGATGCAGTTTTTGCGAGGACTGTTGATCATGGATGTGTGGATAAAGGTTGGATTGGAGTTATCCTCTGTGTCGACAAAGAAGTCAGCAACATCGTCGTCAATCATCGGAGGCAAGGTCATCAGCGTCGGAAAAAATCATTTAATCGCATATCGTCTCATCATCACCAGATCGGGGTAGTTTTGCCACGTGTATTAACACTTTCACAGCGTGTACGCTCCCAGCCTGCCTGGCACTGACTGACGGGAAGGGTACGTGTCTGTCCCAGCACGTACTCATATGTGTCCTGTCTATCCTGTAGTGGATGTTTCTTGCCTGTCCCTCAAAATGTATGTTATTATTATGATTCACTTAATAGAAATATATGTTGCTATAAAAAAAATGCTCCTTCCCTCCCTCTCCAGCCCAGCAGCCACCAGCACAGACAGTCAGCCACCGCGGGAGCCCGATGGTACTGGCTCACGCTGAGAGCACATCCTTCAACTGTGCCATGAAGGGGCTGCTGTAGAGGCTTTGAAGGGGAAAGGATGGGAGGTCTCTGTGTCAGACCTGTATGCCATGCACTTCAATCCTGTCATCTCCAGAAAGGACATCACAGGTAAACTGAAGGACCCCGAGAACTTCCAGTATTCTGTCGAGTCTGTTCTAGCGTATAAAGAAGGCCGTCTGAGCCCAGATATAGTGGCTGAACAAAAGAAGCTGGAAACTGCAGACCTTGTGATTTTTCAGTTCCCACTGCAGTGGTTTGGAGCCCCTGCCATCCTGAAAGGCTGGTTTGAGCGAGTGCTCATTGGGGAGTTTGCTTATACGTACGCTGCCATGTATGACAAGGGACCTTTCCGGAAGAAAACAGTGTTGTCCATCACCACTGGTGGCAGCGGCTCTACATACTCTCTGCAGGGTGTCCACGGGGACATGAATATCATTCTCGGGCCAGTTCAGAGTGGCACTCTGCATTTCTGTGGCTTCCAGATCTTAGAACCTCAACTGACATATAGCACTGGGCACATTCCTGCGGATGCCCGACTTCAGATCCTGGAAGGATGGAAGAAACGCCCAGAGGATATTTGGGATGAGACTCCACTATATTTTGCTCCAAGTAGTTTCTTTGACCTAAACTTCCAGGCAGGATTCTTAATGAAAAAGGAAATCCAGGAAGAGCAGAAAAACAAGAAGTTTGGCCTCTCTGTGGGCCATCACTTGGGCAAATCCATCCTGACTGACAACCAGGTCAAAGCCAGAGAATAAGATTCACAAGATTTGATTTCCTTCTAAAATGTAGCCAAATCTAGGTTTCTTTTCCAGGCTTCCTTTAAATTTGTGTTTTTCTTTTTCTTTTTCCATGAGGAATGAATAGGAGAGAGAATAGACTATTCATACATTTTAGATAGTTTTAATAGACATAACTGATTCTCACAATTGCTATCATGGCAAAATCTGATTAGGCTCAAGAGGCCGCTTAAAATATAAAGCAAGGAAAGGTATAGAAAGAGGCTAGACAATATTCTTTAAGGCTCTGTACACAATTTAATCCCTCTTTTAGGGATAAGTTTTTAGGGCTAAATCTCACTAGAAAGCATCCAACTCTTCAATGATCTATTTCTCTTTTAATTACCTCTCTGTGGTGTACAGCAAAACGGAACTGCTCAGAGAAAGCAATGATTGAATATGTCAGAACTAAGGGACTTGTTGAGTAGTTAGTAATCGATGCCTGATTGTGATATACATTGGTTTTAATTACTGCATAGTGACTGATATACCTAATATGAGTGTTACTCTTCCTTTAAATTCTCTTGTTTGCATACAAATACCTTGAAATGAAAAGCTAATAAAAGTCTCCTTTACTTTAAAAAAAAAAAAAATGCTCCTTGATTTGCTGAATTTCGAGTCCCACCTTTGGTTGCCTAGGCCCTGACCAGATAATTTCACGAGGCCTTATTCGGCCTGTGGGCCGGAGTTCCCCACCCCTGCCTTAGATCAACAAAGAGAATAATAACAATAATAGCTAACCTTATCGATCATTTACTATGTGTCTTTACCATTCATTTAATCCTCACAACAACTCTATAAGCTTGTATATCTATCTATTAGATGAGAAAAACTGAGGGCTCGTAGCATTAAATGATTTGCTAAAGATTATACAGCTAGTGGTGGCAGATTCAGGATTTGAACCCACAAAGTCTGGTCCCTGAGCATGCATAACTAACACTGTCATGATCAAGGTTTCATGTGGTCATATCTGACCCTTAGGGAAAAAAAACTTTTTTTTATCACTTGGATCAATATTTCTAGGGCTGAGTGTGAGTGTGATTGAGAAAATAGACTTACTAGGGGACTAACGCCTACAAAGTTAAACAATATCCTTTGCAGACTCCAGAGGGATCTAGAAGAAAGAATGTCAAAATGGGATGGAGTAGAAATCAGGGGGAAGCTACAACTGAATGGACAGGTCAGTACTCATCCCCAAAACAGCCTGTGGCAACAAGATTAAGTCATGCCCCACTACCTGGTAAGCCAACGATACTGTACCTGATCACTGTCCTGATCAGAATTGATTTAAGAATTGGGTATGATTTACCTGAAGAAATCCAAAACACTAATTTGAAAAGATATATGCATCCCTATGTTCACTGCAGCACTATTTGCAATAGCCAAGATATGAAAGCAGCCCAAGTGTCCATTAATATGATTAGATAAAGAAGATGTAGAAGCTATATACAATGAAATATTACTTAGCCATAAAAAAGAATGAACTCTTACCATTTATGACAACATGGATGGATCTAGAAGGTACTATGCTAAGTGAAATAACTCAAAAACAACATAATTATATGTGGAATCTAAAGAACAAAAATAAATGAAACAGAAACAGATACAGAGAATAAACTGATAGATGCCAGATGGAAGTGGGACTGGGGGCTGGGTGGAAAAAGTGGAGGAATTAATAAGTATAAATTGATAGTTACAAATAGTCATGAGATGTAAAGTACAGCGTAGAAAATACAGTTAATAATATTGTAATAACTATGTGTGGTGCCAGGTGGGTACTAGACGTATCAGGGGTATCACTTGGTAAATTATATAAATGTCTAACCACTATGTTGCACACCTGCAACTAATATAAAGTAGTATTAAAGGTCAACTATAATTTTTGTTGTTGTTCAGACAGAGTGGGAGGGAGAGAGAGAGAGAGAAACATCGACATGAAAGGGACACATCGAGTGGTTGCCACCCACGCAACCCAACCAGGGCCAGGGACAAACTGCAACCAAGGTACATGCCCTTAGCGGGAACCGAACCTGGGTCTCTCTGGACCGCAGGCCGACGCTCTAACCGCTGAGCCAAAACAGCCAGGGCTCAACTATAATTTTTTTAAAAAGAATTGGGAATGGTTGAGCCAAATGGAAGGCATTATAGGGGAGGGGCTGAGAAGGCAGAGGCTGGAAACTAGAATAAACATAAAAGGAACAATTTTCAGATCCATGTCCAATTCCAACTTGAGAAAACACCTATTTATAATTTCCCAGTTTGAATTAAATTTCTACTGTCTAAGATATCTGATCTACCTTAATGTCCCTTTCTTATATACATTGCACAAAAGGAGTGTTCAATGCAAGTTTGTTGACTGATGTCAAGTGTAAGATGGAAGGAAGGATTGCCCTTCACGTTCTCCCTATCTCCCAGTGATCATCTGGGTGAGTCACCTCCCCCATTTTGCCAGTAAGTGCCTCCCCAGGATAGGATGCCTACTCTTGAAAGCCTGTAGCTGCGTCACTGCTGGGAGTTAGCTAGAAAAGTCCCAGCTGGCCCAGATGAGCTTGACCCATAAGACACAGGGTGTGGCAAACCAAGGAATCAACGGTCCTGCATGAGACAGCCAATGGAGCCGTTTTTAAAGACTCACAAAAAAGTGTCTCAAATTAGTTAAAATTCTTCTTCAGCAAAGTAGGACTGACTAGGAAACTAGCGATAAGAACCTTAGGTATGGGTTTTCCTGCCTGGCCTTTTAACTTCATACGGCTGTGCAAGGCCTGCGTTTTTTAGTTACTTGCATCTTGTCACTTTCAAGGTTCTCAGTCAAGGATGTCTCTGGCTATCAGGGGGAAATACTGGCAGCTGGAAGGGGAGATGGGCAAACTTTTATTTCCATCAGCCTCAGAGGCATTTGCTGTTTGCCAAACTGCCCACCCCATGTGAAAGGATTTTCTTTCTTCTGGTTTTGATCTAGTTTTCTGGCAAGATGAATGTACTTTTTCTTAGCACTTCCCGTCTTCTGGCCAAGGCACAGACGTTAGGACACATGTTCCCGTTTCTATAATCCTTTAACCTACAGGAGACATGTGCACCAGGGTTGATAGTGGTCTGTGGGGGCCCCATCAGGAACAGATATCTAGGATCGCTCCCTCATGGAACACATGTCTAGGAAAAGGCATAAGCTCCCTGAGATGAGGGTCTGTGTGGATCTTGTTCCCAGCACTGAGCATAAAGCCTGGCTCATAATGGGCATTCAATAAATGTGGTCAATAACATCTTCTATGGGAATTTCTGAGTCAACTTTCTTTTGCACAGAATCTAGTGGTGCTAAATGGCAGTACAGGGGGTAACTGGGAATAAATTTTATCCCATCTGTCATCTGAATAGCTAACACTAAAGATTGTAACATCTTTCCCATGTATTTCATGGAACACTAGAAAAAACCTGTTTAATTTTTTACCCAGAAATTCTTTTTTTTTTTTACTATGGAGTCTTCACCTTGCACCCATTACTTGCTATCCCATGGAACTAGTGCCCCTTGGAACTCATCTTGAAATTATATTTGGAAATACTGAGTGATATCATGATTAGCCCTCTATTGCTCCCAATCATCCTTTAAATGGATATTCTAGACTTTCCTCTGAAATCACTTATTACATGAGACTGACAAACTATAATTTCCAAATTATCCTGCATGAGAGTAGGAATAAAAGCTCCCGTTTTTCTCCCCATGAAGAGAGGTTCACACTGTCTGAACAGTGGGCTAAGGGCAGCTCTGCTCAGAAATCTCGTGCATTGCCTGGCATGGAGCTCAGGTGTCAGGTGCGAGTGGAAGTTGGGCCACTGGTTATGCATGCTGGCTTCTTGTGACATGTGACGTGTTAACTTGGCTAGCAATGCACCTAGCTATAAGATTAAATGCTAATTTGGGTGTTGTTGTGATGGTATTTCATAGATGTGGCTCACATCTACAATCAGATGACTCTAAGTAAAGGAAAATATCCTCAATAATCAGTGTGGGCCTCTTCCGGTCAGTTGAAAGGTTTCAAAGAGAAAAACTGAGGTTTTTCCTGAGGAAGGAGAAATTCTACCAGAGCATATCCAGTGTCCCGCTGGCTCTGGTTCTCATGAAGAACGCTGATTTGTGTTAACACACTTTTCGAGCAAAGGAAGTAAGGATGAACGTGGCATCTTCCCCTCAGCATAGAGGGTCTGCCTCAAAGCCATGGGGAGTATTAGGACCTGTAGTGACAAGAAGGCTGGAAAGGAGAGACAAAAAAGCCCTCTGCCCGCGGGCAGGCACACTCCCTGACCAGTTTGCAACCCTTGGGGGTTGCTGCCCAGCAGCGGGGCCAGGAGGGATTGCTCAACACTATTGCGTTTCCACGCCTAGGCAAGCCAGGTGCGTTAATTAGTGCAAAAAAATGCTTGCCTTCAATTTAATTAATTTTCACAGTTTAACAGTATCTCAGGGCATTTGTTCTTCATCCTAAAGATGAAGAGCATAGATTTGTATATATTATGGAAATAGATTGTAGTTCTCATTTTGATAAGGAATGCGAAAGCCCAGCCTATTCGCCGGCATCGACAGGAGGGAGAGATGGGACACGTCCGCACACTTACGTGGATGTTCTTTTCACGGTGTATCAGGAGGACTTTGATTTTCATAATATATGCTTAAAACATTAACATGTCCAGATCTAAGAATTTATCCTGAGGAGATGTGTAAGTTATAACATATAAAAAACTTCATCTCAATTATAAAAAAGTTAGAAGCCACCTAAAACTCTAACATAACAGGTTAGTAAACTATGGCATAGAAATATACAATAGAATAAAATAAAGGTAGCTACCATTCATGGAGTAGCGTGCCAAGCACTGTTCTATAAGGGTTTCATATGAATTAAGTCAGTCATCACAACAAATCTACAAGGACGTTCCATGATCTTGTTTCACAGATGAGCAAACTAAGGCATAGAGTGCGTGACGGTAAA